GAACAAAGTTGTTACTAACCTAATCAGCTAACTAGATGTTTTTACCGAAAATTAATCCAGAAAAGTTAACTTTATATGCACCGATTCTAAGTCTATGATGAAGAATAAGTTTAGGATAAAAACCGACTTTAGACGAACAATTATCGATCTCTGCTATGTTTCAGTATTTGAGATGACTCGAACATGTGCTATCTATCAGATTCTGATGGGTGTTTTTGGATCTCATAGAAGGGAGGATGAAACCCGCCCTGATAAAACTCTGCCTACCTTAAGTAAAAATAGCAGTGTACTTTTATCCATGTCAAGTAGGATATATGGCAATGGTGATAGGAGTTTGACTCCTTTAAAGATTGGCATATAAGCAGCTTAGGATATTCATTTAGATGAATGAAGCGAAAATTCTTCGTCAGTATATAAGGTCAGCTTCATTCTGAAGATGACTTTACATATGTTAGCAAGATCATATAGGTGAATAGCGCGTTTTTATTTAGCCTAATTATCACAGACTCCTTAATCCTTGTAGAAGTAGTAGATGCTATGACTGGTTGAAAAAGTGGACTGCTCTTTTACTGTACTTGTTACATATTAGGAAAGTTGCTTAGAAAAATTGTTATTTTCAGTACGAATAACACTAGTTTTTAGTGGTACTCCACTGATGTTCTGGACATTTAGAGAAACTTCTTAGACATTTGTTAAATAATCACCTTGGATTACCCACGCCCAAAAAAGACTAGTTGTGTTATCACCATTAATTGATGAGGTCTGTAGAGATGACTGGAATCATGAGTTCCAGAAAAGGAGGACTTCAGAAAGTCTCTTTTCACCTGCTCCTAATTTTCTAAAAATGCAATGAACCTTTTATCCGTAATTCTAAAAGTAACTTTGCTTCTTTTCACAGTAATCAGAAGAGCTGTACCTGCGATATATATTATTATTTTTATTATTAGTCCCTTGGGTTCCTAGTGGAACATAGGGCTTCAGTAGCACGCCTCCAGTGACCTCTGTTCTCTGAGATCTTTTGAACCTGGTTCCACGACAGCCCACAACCTCTCATTTCCTCCTCGCACGACCTCCTCCATGTCACCCTCGGACGTCCAACTCGTCGCTTCCCATGGGATTCCACTCGAGGGCCTGACGCGTGATGTCCTCAGTCGGCCTTCTCAGTGCATGCCAATCCATCTCCACTTCTTCCTGCATATTTGTTGCGTGATAGGTTCTTGGTTGGTTCGTTCCCAGAGTTCCTTGTTGCTTATTTTTTCTGGCCATCTGATCTTCAGCAGCGAGCGTAAGCAGTTGTTGATGAATGTCTGTAGTTTATTGGAAATCCTTTCGTGACGCGCCAAGTCTCTGAGCCATACAAGAGCACTGACTTGACGTTGGTGTTGAAAATCCGTATCTTGTTCCGCATGCTGAGTGCAGAAGATCTCCACACTGGTTTCAGGCTAATGAAGCCTGTCTTGCTTTTCCGATTCTGACTTTGACGTCCTCGTCCGTCCCGCCTGTAGTTGAAACAGTGCTTCCTAGATAAGTGAAGGAGGTTACTTCCTTCAAGTTTCTCCGTTGACGGTGATTGGAGTTTGTTGTTGTTGTTGATGGTGGTGGTGCGGTATCTTCATCACTTCTGTCTTCTCTATATTCACCTGAAGTCCCGTCTTAGCTGCCTTCTGTCAACTTGTTAGTTTTTGCCTGCAGATCTTCAAGTTTATGTGACATTAGGCATAAGTCATCGGCGAAATCCAAGTCTTCTAGGTTCTTTTCCGTCGTCCAGTGTATCCCCTCTTCTCGCTGCCTACTGTTTGCTGCATGATCCAGTCCACCACAATAGGAATATCATGGGGGATAGTAGGCAACCTTGTTTCACTCCTGTCTTCACTTCAAAGGCATCACTGAGCTTCCCATTGTGGATTACTTGGCATGTGCATCTTCATATAGTTGTTGAATGAGGGGATAAAGGTTTGCGGTACTCCGTAGTATTGAAGCAGTTTCCAAATTACTTCTCGGTCGACGCTGTCAAAGGCCTTCCAAAGTCGATGAAGTTGAGGTAAGAGCTGATTGCCATTCAGCTCTGTTCTATGATGATACGAAGCGTTGCAATTTGGTCAGCACTGATTTGTACTTCCTGAAGCCTGCCTGTTCCGGTCGAGTTTTGAATCCAGTGCTCTTTAAGCCTCTCCAGGATGATGCGGCTTAATTTTACTTGGGGGGATAGGAGAGTGATTCCCGCCAGTTCTTGCAAGCACTGAGGTCTCCTTCTTCGGCAGTTTGACAAGGTAACCCTTCTTCCAATCGTCAGGTACCTTCTCTTCTCCACACCTTCTGCAATAGTGGTGTGAGCATGTCCGCTGTTGTCTCTGCATCTGTTCTCAGTGCTTCTGGCGGTATTCCATCTGTCCTGCTGCTTTCCCGCATTTCAGTAGCTTTATGGCGTTCAGGACTTCCATTTTCGTTGGGGATATGTTCACTTGTAATTCGCGGCTGCAGGTGGTATTTCTGGACGAAGTGCAGGTGGTGGTCGATTCAAGAGCTTTTGAAGTGGTCGGCCCATGTTTCCTCTGTTTCTCTTCTTTTGTTAAATTTCCTTCTTCATCTTTTATTGGTTTCATCTGTGTTGGTCTCTTCCCTGATAGCAACCTGGTTATTTGATACAATGTCGTCAGGTCTCTCTTACCTGCAGCCTGTTCTGCTCACTTGCCAGTGTTCGTAGAAGTGTCGTTTGTCTTTGCGTGCACTCTTCTTCACTTCTTTATCCAGTGTTTTATACATTGTGCTCAGTTCCTCTTGTCGTTGAGCATCCTTGCACTGGTTATCTTCTGCTTCACCATCTCCTCTCTATCAGTTCCAGGTATCCTCGAGATCCATTCCTTGTCTTCTTTCTTCTTCCTTCCTAATACTGTTGTGCAGGTTTCTTTCCACATAGCTTTCAAAGACTTCCAGTGTTCTTACACAGGTTTCTTCAGGATGCTCGTCTCCCATTTTGTCTTGATGGCTGTGAAGATCTCCTTTGTAGTTTCATCCTTCAGTTTCCGAGTGTTGTACTTGAATTGAGGTCTATCACCAGCTTCCTTGAAGCTTTTAACTTGATTTGGGTTCCTTGCACTAGATAGTGGTCTGAACCTACATCTGCTCCTCTCTTGACCTTGTGTTAAGTAGACTGCGTCTCCATTTTCTTATATATATATATATATATATATATATATATAAAAAGTGGATTTCTGTAGAAGGTTGTCGAGTGAATTCGTTAAGTCACAGTATGAAAAGTGATCTGATGACGAGAAATTCGCTGTCCAACAAATAAATTAGTATGAGGTTTTCTCCTTTCTTAGTCAAAATGTTTTACATAAATATATGTCTACCATAAAGAAGAGTAATGACAGTGTCAAAGAATTCACGGCCTCATTTATCATTGCTTTTCCTTTACTGGTTTGTGAATTTGATTTTCTTCGGAACAGAATAATTAATTTAACTTCGGGGTGGATAACCTTAGCCTGTTTCTTAACGGTGTATTGTTTAGCTTTCTCAACCGATAAGATGGCTAGCAGAAGGAATTGTATTGGGAAAAAACATTCCTGTCTTAATCCCGCCCTTCTATCATCTTTTAACATCTCTTTCAGAGACGAATTTCGATAGTCTTTGATGACTTGGTGTCATAAGAATCGCAGAGTTTATTGTGGACTTCATGAGGTGTGAATTTTCCTAATTAACGAATAAGTAGCATTTGAAAGGTTATACTCGGCAAATCGTTATTCCATACCTTTACTTTGATCACTAATTACTAGTTACGTTCCTGGTAATTATCAACAACTACTTATAATCAAAGATGTTTGATGAAATCGTTGACTAAATTGTCTTTCAACTGGATGAACACACTCTAACACGTGTAGAGCTGGTATATGAGTAACAAATGGACCATACAGATAACAGTGAGTTCTTATGATATTTGGAAGTTATACATTACAGCCGAAATCGAATCATACTCTGTATACTTCAAGATTAAGTCGGCTTCATTTCATCTTTTCTATAAACTCACCATGCGACTGAATTCAAAGGCAGAGTTTGAATTCTTGCCATTATCCATAGGAAAACATCGCTCAACATGTGAAGTGCAACATAATCAAAACGACAGTGTCATGTCTCATTTTGATTAAAAATTCTGAACGCTTCTATTGATATAATATTCTGTAATGCTACCACAAGTGTCCTGAATGTGGGCTTCGATAATTTCTTAGAGAACGAGGTGCTACTTTTCGTCCAGTTGCCATACATTTTAATCAGCTTACTTCAAAGTGTATATCACCAGTGCTTAGATATTTGTTTTGGCTGTTGATTTTGATGTTGTGAAATAACACTTCTTATCTGTTTCCGATTTTTCTAACTCAACAGCCTCAGATATGCTCAGACATTCTTTAGAGTCTCCTCCGTCCTAAATGTTTGCATTGTTCGGCCTCTATCTTCTCTAGATCTCCTTTAGTCGTATAAAATGTAACCGCCTTGTCTGCATGTTGGTGACCTACCATTCGATAACTCAGTATAATTGCATACTACAAAGAATCGATGTGGGAGCATCTGTCCGAAATTTCATCAGTATGCGTATTCAGTACTCAAAGAGACCCTTCCTTAAATACCATAGTGAGAATATTTCTTTTTTTGATCATATGTTTTTCACGTTTCTTTTAGCTATACTTTCAAAAACAGCCATCTAACTTCAGTGCATTGCATATATACTGAAAGACGAAAACTATTTTAAGTCTGAAAATAGGAAAATATGCAATGGAAAGAAAGATATTGTTTTTATATGACAATTTGATAGCTTGTTATCTGCCAACCGGATTTCTGGACCCATTTAATGATGTTTTGTATTAGGAACTTTTATATTAACTTTTATTTCACCTGTCTATTCATTGATTGGTCATTATGTTTAGCCAATAAACTGTCTCAACATGTAATAATGAAACCTGAAAATAATATTGTTACAAGTATGCAGTAGACAGTTTCAAAATGATGGAATATAGGTTGTGAAGAAAAAATACGTTAACCAACTGTATCTATTTTATGACATTTCCAACAATGAAAACATTTAAAAAGAACTCTGAAATGCCTGCAAACAACCAGTGTGCTGAAATTTTCGATCTAGCTTGTGAGTTACATGTGAATCCAGCTAACCGTCAATCACATATGAATGTAAAGAATTTAACATCATCAACTTCAGAAGTCACATCTCCTTCAAATCCAATATGCACTGACTCACATTTATACGACACGGCTGTTAATCGAATGTTTACATTGGATTCTGATTATTTCAAAAGGCCTCAGTTTCAGTGTCTACCCAACTGTCAAGATATTCCATTAGCGTCAGAAGAGAAAGGATTGTCAACTCTTTTCCCATAGTTGGCCATACGCATCCACGTATTCGCTCACATCTACGGTCACACATTGTTAAAAACTCTTCACACACAGCCAATACACATTTATCCCCAGGTAAATTGGAAAATAAATCTTTGCCATTTTTACAAACAGTGCCACACTTTATTTACATTAATAATCCTAATAACCAACTGAGAAATGAAAAGGAAATGCGTTCACCTATGGACCTTCCAATGAACTAATTGAGCCGATAAAAGCATCAAATGAAGATTGTGAATATATTTTAGAGAATAGTCACATTGTTGTCCAAATCTGTGTGTAAATTCTTCTTCATCTCAATGTGAATGCAACAGAAAACATGGAAGAGATTGTAATTTCAATGATATTCTATTCAACAGTCATCCAATCCATTATCCTTCATGTGATTATCAGTGTCATTCACGTACACAACTACAAACCGGGCAGGATTATTCATTAAAAGGATTTATTGTAGAAGAAGATAAAATCAAGTGTGGTTCGAATGCTTCATCATTGGAGAATTATGAATCTGGTGAAAAGTTGACCAACTCAAAGACACGTCTATCAAAACACATGAAATGCTGTCATAGGTGAGTTAGTTGATGCATAAAAATGGTCATTTGATGAATAATCTAGTAATCTGTTCCAACTTGAAAAGTAAATGACACTGTCTTTTTGATAGTTAGGTTTCGACTGAAATTCTGGTTAGCTAAAGCGACTACAGGCAGCAGGCGATATATGTTACTGAAGATTCAGTAAATGAGCGCAGTTTAGCATTTCTGTACCGTGTTTTCCGAAAACAGAAACTGAATTCACTTCTCATTGATTTTACCATCGGTATTGCACCTGTTATGACAATAGCATCAGAACTAGTAGTACAACACCTGAGGAAAGACAGCGTTTGCTAACACAATAAGCAATTACCTAGTTGCATAAAAAATGTTATATAGAAAAATAATCAAGACATTATTTGACGCTTGTTATTCTTCAGAATCTTGTCAAATGGTGATATTTATCTAGAAACGATAATAAAACAGATGACAAAAATTTCTATTGGAAAATGGAAAAAATCAGCGATTAGATTATTTTTCATTTAAGTAGCTTAATGAGTTCAATTCAGCGATGTCATCCATTTTTTGCAAACTAGGCTTTGAGTTACAGTAAACTGGCAAAACCTGTCGATACTGCATAGCAAGTATTCCACAAACAAACAATATAATCCACATATGAACGAAAACAGAAGTATTTATTCACAACAGTACAGCATTCATATCTTTATTAGTAAATAGTACGTTTCATTTTAAAAAAAGTATTGATAAATGCACTCTACTGCTTGATAAAAGAAATTTTACTGCCACGAAGGGCAACCTTTTCAGTGATTATTATGCGAGTTCAATTAAGAGCAGTTATAGAATTTATTCTCTACCTTGCCTCATAAATAAGCATATAATGCACTTATTACACTACTTACCACCTATATGTATCTGAGAATTTTGAAGACAATGGTTTCAAAGGTTGGACAATAAATATTTCTTGTAGTTTATACGTATACATTTGTTTAGCCTAATGACTGGAAAGCTGAGTTTTCTCTGATTAGCAAATCATATTTTTAGTAGTGTGACAACAAAAATCAATCAGTCTTGATGGTTTGCGATAAGCATATCATTCTGGCGAAGACTTTGTATCGAAACACTATTGAGGGTGTTAGAGCCTATAGTGAATATCAGTGAGTTGCATATGTCCAGATGGGTTCGACAAGGTTACTTCCTGTTTTCATTTCTACTAATATGGATCACAACAATTCTCGGACTTACCTTACTTACATTGTGTAGCTTTAGATGGATTGACCTTCTCATAGGAAACCGCCTGTAGACCTGGAATATGCACATGGCAGAATTATATTAAGTGGAGATTCTGTAAACATGTGGCGTCTTCTGGACAACTCCAGTAACTATTTAAACGTAGTCTGAATCCATTTTTAACCACTCTAATTAAGTTTTCTGCTCCTAGACTGATCTGCACTTGTGTCTCGTCTGACTGCCGTAAGCCAAGTGATTGGACAAACTCACTGTTGATCTTACTTGAAAAAAAATCAGCCTTGACAGGTCAGCGGCAAAAGAAATTTCCACATGAACAAAAATGTCTCACTCCATAGTTACAAACATAACCATCCATGACGCATACTCAGTTTCAGATATACGGTGCAGGAGTTCACTATGTTCTACTTCTCCAATAAAGTTGGAGGACGTGCAAAAACTTCAAGTGTTAGACCGTCTATAGTCTTGTAGCACTACCCTTTTTTCGATCAACCATCTTGCAAATAATACGAAAGTTAGGCGTAGAATCTTATGCGGAAGACGTCAGTCATTTGATTAGGTTTTTAACACTCATCCAGTGAGGAGCGAGGGAATAAGTTGTATTTTTTTAGTCACCTTTTTGCCATAGTGCGACGTTACTCACGGCATGAGCAGGTAAGAAGAAGGTAGAAAGCGTCGAAACATGGCGTCAATCCATAAAGTCCCTGACTGTTGGTCTGTGACCTATAAGGTAATGTAACCTTCATGGGTAGGATACGTGTGGCAGCCGAAATCAGCGGTTGGAGACTACAGGCGACAAGGGGCAGAATCACTTTCAGAGATGCAGGCACGTCCACAACTCACCTTCGTCCTGATCATCATGCAACATTTCTTTACATAATTCCTCCCTCACCTTTACTCACTGTGATGTTTTGTAACTTCTGATTACATTTATCCCTATTTTCAATCTTATAACTTGCTGCCCTGTAACCTATTGTGGGGAGTGACAACTCAGATTGTATTGCGGTAATTATAGATTGCATATTTACATGAACTGAATGAATGACATTTTATACTGAAGCACTTGCAAAAGCTGTATTAACTGTTATTGTTTCACCAAGAATATGACTGAATTAAAACTTCGAAAATGCTAAACATACTGTCTGTATTAGATAGACCAGTGGAACAGGAATGTGTGATACAAAGGTAAGGCAGCCCATGGAAGAGCACAAGCGAAAAGTCAGGAAGCTGTAGAGTGTTTAATATAGTTAATTTGACTTGCTTTCATCACTGCTGACATATACTTAAACGCTTGATAACGTAAGAAACTCTATGAAATAAAATGACTTGACCGTTAGCTAAAGTAGATGTATATAAATAAATTTCATTTAATGAATTGTAATTAAATATTTGTCTTTTCCTATCGGCGTAACATGAATCATATTATTGTTTGACTACTATCCTTGATTTGGCGCCAAATTAATTATGATGAACTGATATATGATTAATGTGTAGGCAGTTTTTTCAGGTTTATTATCTAAAAGTACTTCAAATTCAGCTGATAACAACTAATATATAACTGGGTTACTTTCAAAGCATTAAAATATTAACAAAATATTAGACAAAATCGTCAAAGTAATGGATTAAATATATATATTTGCCTGAGGACAACTGTTACACCTATTCAATGTTTAACAGTTGATATTTTGAGGGATTGTTTCTCCATATCGTGGACAGAAATAAAATCAGCTATAGACAGTCAGTTGTATGAATTTCACAAACACACTAATAACAGGAGAAAGAAAAATAGGTCATTTAGAGCTATGAAAGCAAAAGTTATACTTTAAAGAATATAACCATTTTGTTGACTAGTTATAAAATGAACAAAAACTATTAATTCATAGCATTATTGAATGTTGAACTTAAAAAAGGAAAACGAACTTTTATATCGAACAACACTAGTTTTAGACTCGATTACACGTCTCTCTCTCACTCTCCTTCTCTCTAGCTGTGTGAATCAAACATGAATAAATGAGGAAATGACGTGAACTACGTTAATGTAATAAAAAGAGTAAAAATGTCACTTTACTGAAAGTGGCAGAGGAACATATATATATAAGTCTGGTTTTTTATTTGTATTGTGAATGGGATTACGTCTCAACAACTGAAATAGTGAAATAATAGTATTATTTGGGAACTAATCAGAGACTTGAAATAAATGGATTGATGCGTTTACCCGAGTTCGCAGTTTTGTTTATCCTTCCAAGTATTATCTACAGATTGAATCAACTATCAAATAATTAATGATCATGAGAATGCTTAGAGAAACTGGATTTTCGAATAAGATATTCTGATTCAGTGACTTTGACGCTAAGGTTGAATATCAAACCAGGAGATCAACTCTCATTCATCGCTTATATTTATTGAATATTTTGATTTCCTCCAAAAGTGCTATGCTTTTCAATTATTAAGGGAATCTTATTGAAGACAAGACAATCTGCCAGTATTTTGTGATGTCAGCTAGCTTCCAAATGACCTCACATCTTTAAAAATCCCTCACTCTGAACAAGGTCTCGGCACTGCATTTCTGATGTAGTCTTAGCTTAAGGGGTAACCAATTATTTGACAATTAATGATCATGGATCAGCATAGACATTTTTGCTAGAATATGGTGACTAAGACGTCACTTTGGATTTTGATTTTATGTATTGTCAGTGTGAGTGTAAAATGACAAATCATCAACATATGTTTCTACAGACAAATACACAGACATCCAAGTAAGCTTTCGGCACTGATAAACATTCATATGAATGTTCTGTGCCTAATTGATATCAGATGATGATTAAAGGTGGAATGAAAATCTGATTCATTGCAGGATTCTAACCAGATGCCTCCGAGTTATCAACACAGCTGAGCTACGAGATCCGCCTACTGCCCAAATATTAATTTCATTTCAGTCACCTAGGGTTTTGCCTGAATACCGTATGAATACGTGGTGCGTTCCTGTTCGTTCATCGAATTCACACTAACTGCACAGCCGGAACTTCAAAACTGAAATGAATTAGAGATGCAGAGCATAATATTAATTATCATTTTGCCTGAAACTAGATTTCCGATTCACCTTCAGTCATCACTCAGTATGAACAATCGAAGTTTGACAAATGAAAGCTATATCAGGCAGTCATGATAAGCACTCAATCTAAAGGTTTGCAGGAATTACTTGTTGAGTTAAAATTGGTGTTCATCACGGAATGACGTCACTTGGAGACCTATTAGAAACCCGTCATCAGTGGATACATGTTTCGTCCTAACACCGGACTTGTAAGAAATGAGTAGCCATGACCTCTTCACGAATCAAACCCATGGTCTTCAGTTTTCCTGACAAGCACGTTCTCCTTGAGGCATAGAGTCAGAATCCAGAGACCCACACCTCTTACTTTTATCAGTTCTTAATATAGTACCACTTTCATCCACTACCTTCACTAACTGTCCACATGTCCGATTTGGCTTACCCCACCGGTCAGGACTTCTTATTACAACTTCTCCAGTCTCATCTCAATTCAAGTCACTAAACAGCATTAATGATCCTTAATATGTTCATGGGTGAGCACTACTGAAGAGTCCCATAACAGAAAAAAACGGCCTTGCAGTCATCCGGCATTTCCATCGGTTCCCCAACTGGTGTCAGACTATGACAATTGAAAATACGACTTTCATCTCATTTGATTTGATTTTTATTTGGATGCTAAATTTTTCTCAGGTTTTCGTTATTTTGTATAACTTGGTTAATAGTT